AGATCTGCTTCGAAGAAGTGATGAAAGGCTTTGACGAACGCGACAAAGCGGCCCAACGGGAGAAGGAGGACAAGATCCAGGCGTCGCTCCTTATTCTCAACGAACTCTTGCGCTGTTCTAACGATTCCGGTATTTAATCAATTGTCTTGTGTTTAAGATTGTGGTCACAGTTTCAATGATTTTGTTTTTTTGTTGGTCTAAACCACAGGCGATGTAATCGGACGAGAATTGGAGCATAAATATAATCAGATAATCGAGAACCAAAGCAACCACCGAAGCAGTCAATTGTCTAAACTATTCCGAAGTCACACCAATATTCAGACACAGCCAACGGTTCCCTCTTATGGTTTGCGTGATTTGAATTCAGTGGTGAAGTATCACAAAGAAATGGGTTTAGCGCCCATCCCATCGTCGCAACACAAGTATACTATTTTGTCAATCGGTTTATTCGTTGCCCAAAACCTCTAATATGTCTATTCGTTGTCTTGTCGTGCGATTAGATATCGACCGCCGAAACTGAGCCAAACGTGTCGTCAATTATTATTAGACAATTTCGACGACTTATGCGCTCAAGTGATGCTTCAGCTCCACTGCAAGAATACTCCGAACATAAATCACGTGATTCTGACAGTCATTCCAAGTCTGGCCGCATTGAATCCGGACAAGTTTGCCGCCAGAAAGTACATCAAAGAGACCATTGTATACCTACTCAATAACCTGCGACTATCGCCCGCCCGTTCCCTCGCCTTCATCTCTTTGGGTAATCGTCGACAACACGTCCGCCGGAAATGACAACTCTTTTACCAATGATTTTGTTTCGCAGGTCTTTTGGCGATTGCCATCAAACCGGTGAAGAATGATATTCTTAAACAACATTTGCCGCAAATAATGCAAACAATACGCCAAACACTGCCGCTGAAAGAGCATCAGCCGAAGAAACGGCTGCCACAGCCGGACCCGACTGTGTTCACGTGTCTGGCGCTGTTGAGTCAGGTGGCGGCCGACTCCATCGTCAAAGAAGTGCGCGAACACTCTCTCCTGGACTCGATGTTCGCCACCGGACTGTCGGAGCCGTTGGCGGCGGCGCTGCACGAGATATGCAAATACATTCCGTCACTCAAACAGGACATCCAGAACGGACTGCTCAAGATGTTGAGTCACATACTCATGAAAAAGGCGTATACATTGCCCGGAGTGCCCAAACACCTGCAGTTCAGTGCCATGTCTTTAAGCTGCGAACCCGTAGACGTTCAGGTAGTTTACGCTCATTTCTGACGGCTTTATGTCAACAAATGTTTTGTGTTAATTAACATTTGAAACTAATGTGTTATATAGACGACGATTCTGGCGCTCAAAGTGTTGGGTCAGTTCGACTTCGAGCCCCGGTCTCTCATGCAGTTTGTCCGTCACTGCGCCGACACTTACCTGACCGACGAGAGTCGAGAGGTCCGACTGGAAGCGGTCCACACGTGCTGCCAATTACTAACGCCCGCGCTTATGAAAGTTCAGGCAAAACATTCGCAAACTCTTGTCATTACAATTCAGGTAGAAATGAATGCTAATTGAGTTTTTAACCACTATTCTGATATGAATAATGTGGTTTATAGGATCGTTCGGCTACCCCTCCCCCCCTCCCCCTCCCCCCACCCTATGGGATTTAACATGGGATTGCATGTTAATCCTATGGCTATACTTTAACATGGGGAGACTCTCATAGGATAACATGGGAGACACTTTTGCTATGGGAAAATGCGATTACATGGGTTTCTATGGGATTACAGCTTAAGTCTATGGCATTGGAATAACATGGGCAATGCTAAGTCTATGGAATAGGAATAACATGGGTAATGCTAAGTCTATGGAATAGGAATAACATGGGTAATGCTAAGTCTATGGAATAGGAATAACATGGGTAATGCTAAATCAATGGCAATGCTAATCCTATGCGTAATGTTAAGTCTATGAAGTTGATTCTGATCTTATGGACAATGGTAAATCTATGGATCTAGTGCTTTATAGTAGATTTTTAAAATACAAACAATCAATTAAAATAACAATGAAAAATTTTGAAAAATGATATTCATTTAACAATGCTTTAAAAATTAAATTTTCAAAATACACTTATTAAATGCAATGTAAAGACTTATATATTCTTTGAGAATCACCCGAATAGTGGTTAACGTATAGCATCGCTGTGTGATCCTTGTTTTGTTTTGTTAACTCTTGTGTTTTATCTATTGATTTGCTGTTACTTTAAGGATGTTTTAAGTAAACTATTGATTGTGGGCATAACCGACGCCGATATGTATGTCCGCTATTCGGTGCTATCGAGTCTTGACGAGCGGTTTGACATGCATTTAGCGCAGGCGGAGAATCTGAACGCACTGTTCATCTGTCTTAACGACGAAGTGTTTGAGATCCGAGAACTGGGCTTATGTACGATCGGACGGCTCAGTAGTCTTAATCCCGCGTATGTCATGCCGTCACTAAGAAAGGTATTCAAACAGTGTTGTAATGAAACTTCTAATGCATTAATATTTATGTATAATTTATTTATTTGATTGTTTGAATAGGTTTTGCTTCAATTGTTAACAGAGTTGGAATACTCTGGCATTTGTCGGAGTAAAGAGCAAAGCGCCAAAATGTTAGGCCACTTGTTGGCCACAACTCCCCGACTAATCAGACCATACACTGAACCCATACTTAAAGTATTTTTGCCAAAACTCAAAGATCCGTCACAGTCTG